AAGGATGGAAGGCTGAGTCAACCCTGAGCCGGTGAGATTTGAACCGCTGACCTGCTGATCTAGCAGTAGCGTGCAGTGCTGCATTTAACCACTGCTCCACCTTGGCTCTTATAGTAATTGCATAATTAGCCCATCACATTTCCATTCTTCAGGAGAGAGCTTCAAGGCTTTAGATAAACCATTTTAATTTCTCCTCTAAGAACTGCAGAACAAACGGCTTGGTCCACATATTCAATTTTACTTAGCATAGAAGTCTGTATTATGTTTAAAGCAATACCAACCACGCCCCAGAGCTAAGAAAATTTCTACATATTGTTCAGAATTGCAAAATCAAAAAAAGAAAAAAAAAACCCAACTTCCTCTCAGTTTCACTTTTTGCACAAATATAGCACTGAGTAAGGGGGAAGGGCAGGGGGCAAAAAAGAAATTAAGAGAGAGAACCTGGACTTTCCCTACTTAGGCAAGCATTATAGATCATAAAGAAAGTAAAAGCATCTTGAAGAAAGCTCACCCCACCCTACCCTACTTCCGGTACCTACATTTATACATTTTTCTCAGTACTATTATGGAAGCAGTTTGCTACCATCTCTTTCTAGGCTGATGTCTTGATTTCCCAGCGTAGCCTGTAGGCTTGAACTGAGTCTCCTTCTACAGCAGGAGTGACAACTCCTGATGACTCTGTCTGTGTCTGTGTGTCATTTTGCCTCTGTGCCTCATTTGGGGATCAAAGGAGATGTGGCTGTATGGGGTTCACCGACAAAAGGGCGAACGACAAAAGCGCGCCCGACTAAACCGCGGTGACAAAACCGCGAGTTCTAAAGCGCGCCGATGAATGAGCGCTGAAGCGCGCCGACAGAAGCACGACGACAGAAGCGCGCTGTAAACCTAAACCTAACCCTAGACCTAACCCTAACCCTAACCCTAAACCTAACCCTAAATCTAACCCTAACCCTAACCCTAACCCTAAACCTAACCCTAACCCTAAACCTAACCCTTACCTTAACTTAAATCGCGCTTCTGTCAGCGCGCTGTTGTCACCGTGTTGATGACGTCACGTTGATGACGTCGCAGTTTTAGCGCCACGTTTTTGTCAGCGTGCTTTTGCCATGCGCGCATTTGTCGGGTCACGGCTGTAGGGTCATTACAACATCATCAGAGGAGAATGACAAAATGTTCACTTCTCTTCCCCATGTTTTTTTTTTACTAATAAGCAACAAATTTGCTAGAGAAACTTTCAACAACTTTGCACTTATCTCACTCCTTAAAACCTCTGCAAATGGGGGGGGATATATAATCATTGCAGGTGGGATTTTAAAAACAGGGTGCCTTTATCATAGGGAAGCTTTAAAGTGCTTATCTGAAGCCTGAAACACCTCCAACTTCCTCAAAACCCCATTTGAAGGTTTTGGCCCCAGGCGCTTGGGAAACAAAACCGGAGAGCTAGAAAAGCGGGGGTGGCAGGAGTGCAGATTCCACATGTGGCTTGCAAACTGTTAAAATTGCTCGGCCCTATCTTCTCATGTATACAATGGAAAAAGCAGTCTATGAGCAAGATGACTCAGGGTGTTAAATATTAAGGCACATTCACTGCTTAGCACAGAAAAAAAATGGGCAGGGGGAATAATGGGCAAAGTCTCTCTTTTTTGCGGTTTTAATACAGTAATATCCAACAATGAAACAGCAAAACAAGACATCTGGTGTATAGAAGTAGAAATAGTCTCATTTTAGCACTGAAAACCACCCCTTCACCCACATATATACCCTGTGTGTGTGCTGTGTATGACTGCCAAAAGACCTGGTAAAGCAGAGTGATTTCCCATTCCATGCTGGGATTTGAGTTCAGATTCTCACGCATTTACCACATTTCTAACACGTGGATAAATTGTGGGTGGAATCCAAATGTAACATGGTGAGAGTGGATCCATTGATACCAAAGAAGAATCAGATTAATTGAGAAGAATTCAAATCTCTATGAGTTCAACAGATCACTTTCAGCATGATGCATGTCTAGATCAAACCCCAAATCTCTCTCTTTAATCTGTTTATGAAAACTAAAGTGTAAACCATAAAATCAAACAAATCTGCGTAAGCTATTAGTGGTGTGTGAATCAAACAATTGTGATGATCTGTAGGCAAATGGTGAGAAGAGGTATTGCCTACAAAAATAAGCAAAAAGGAACAAGTAGTTTTTCTTAACTAGGATCCGTTACCTACGGTTATCAAATAAATTCCTGTAAAGAATGAATGAATGAATCTGCTTAATTATGGACAAATCTGAAGCAATCGAAAGCTTTTAGTTCAATCGCATTAGCGTATTTTAATATCCTTATTCTAATGATATAAAATAGGCGTGTCAAACTCGCAACGTCGTCGCGTGGCATATTGCAACTTTTCCCCCCTTCGCTAAAACGGGGGGGTGGGCGTAGCCAGCGCGTGACGCATCTGGTTCGCGGGCCACGAGTTTGACATCCCTGCTATAAAACAAATTCTGCAGAACCTTTTTTTTCACACGGTGTTTGACTGGAAAGGTATCATTTTTTCTCAAATGTAATCAATACTTTATTTTATTGTTAATTTATGGGTGTAGCTCCTGGTCACTGGCTGGCTGGCTGGCTAGGCAGGAAATTTTGGTTCAACTTACTTGGCTCAGGTCCCCAGAGATATCCCTAAATTATCAGCTTAAAATTCAAAAGAAGCAAAGGACTCCAGGCTGTGATCCACAGGGTCCACAACAAGTTATTGATGACAGCAAAATGATGACACACACATGACAAATGCTGCAATGACATTTGTTGTCAACAAACACGTGTGTTGCAAGATCTGTGTGATTATGTCATCATGCTCTATCTGCCCCTTTGCCTCTATGGATGCTCATGCCAGGGCACTATTTCTTGGAGGATAATGTATTGCAACGATACAGCAAAAGCAACGAGCATTTCCCAGAAAGTAGCCGGGACACAAATTCAAAGCTTTCCTATACAGAACTAAATTTTTACAGCCTTTTAATGGACTGAAAGAGACCATCAGACAATGCATAATATATATGGCTAAAACATGCAGTCATGTCTTATTTCGATAACACATCGAGATCTTCCAGTGACAAGTGAACATTTAAAAAAAAAAAAAGATGGAATACTGCATGTGCAGAAATACAAGCAAGATAGCACTGCATGCACACCATGACCCGTCAAAACCGCGCTCGACTAAACCGCGCTCGACTAAACCGCGC